TCGGCGGCCCCTCTCTCTCTGTGTATATATCTGGAGCCAGGTCGGCGCCCCCTCTCTCTCTCTGTGTATATCTGGAGCCAGGTCGGCGCCCCCTCTCTTTCTCTCTGTATATCTGGAGCCAGGTCGCCCCCTCCCCTCCCCCCCCTCTCTCTCTCTCTCTCCTCTCTCTCTCTCTCTCTCCCCTGTCTATATCTGGAGCCAGGTCGGCGCCCCCTCTCTCTCTCACTCTCTCTCCTCTGTGTCTCTGTCTCTCCCTTTCTGTGTGTGTGTGTGTGTGTGTGTATCTGGAGCTAGGTCGGCGCCCCCTATTTATGTGAGTCGAGGTCCGGGTCTAGGTGGCAGGTCTGTCTGGGTGGAAAGAAAAGGTTGCAGGTGGACCTCTTCTTCCGAGTCTGAGTGGATGCCTGACTGAAGGCCTATTTAGTTATGATCAATAATTAATTGCTTAATGTGATTAACGGTGGGCGTACTAATTAATTAATAATAATCCTAGCCGTATTATGTAATTAATGATCAATTATCAATACTTAATTAATTAACTAGTTAACAGTGGACGCATCAATTAATTCATTATAACTCTGGGCGTAGTAATTAAGTAATGATCTATAATTAATTAATTTATAAGTTAACGGTGGGCGCACTAATTAATTAATTATAATTCTGGGCGTATTAATTATTAATTAGTAATCATCGATGTAAGAGTAAATCCGTTACGCGCACTTTATTTTGTAAGCTAGTACGCCGGAATTGTTTTCTTTTCCAGTGGATTGAAATATGTGAATACAATATGAATATTCAATATATATTATATTGGTGTATGTTAGTATTTATTTTATTTTGGATTTTTTTCCCTTTCATTGATGTTTTTCTATCTTATGTATTTGATTGTATTTAATTAAATTATATCCATTTGTTTATACTACTATTTTAATTCACACACCATTTTTGATTATTTTTATGTGCTATTGAATTTAATTTCTTAGAAAGAAAAATAATGTCGAAGGGGAAGATATCACCTTTTTTTTTTTTTTTTTTTCTAAAGAGTTACTTATTTTACAAAGCCGAGAACCGGGCCCGGCGTCCCTCACAAAAGAGAAAGGTGAGACCTCTGAACGAGGCATCGTCGGGGGCCAAGTCCCACTAGAAGCGTTGAGTTTTCTCAACGCCCGAATCTGGAAGTGTTTGTGGAGAGGTGCGGTTGAGGAAACTCGATACAATCTCCTGTACATCTCCAGAAACACGCCCAGATTCGGCCGTTGACGAAGCTCAACGCTGCTAGTGGGACTTGGCACCGGCCCAGGTCAGAGGGGGGGATATCACGCTCTGTTTTATGAATTCTTTTTTTCTGATTTCTAAATAAGTTCTCTAATCATGGGCATGATTTTCCTCTTCTTCTCAACTGCGCGCCACTCCTTTCCCCTTCCCTTCCCCCTTCCCTTCCCCCTTCCGTTTTCCCCTCCCCTCCTCCCCCTCCCCCCGACCCAAAGGTCCTCCCCTTCCCCTCCCCGTCCCTCTGCGCGAGTTGAACTATGGACGGACATAAAGATGCGCGATTGTTTTTTTTTGTTTTTTAAGGCGATTTTTTTTTTTCTGTTTAAAGAACGTCCCGGATCTTATCCACACTCGGGGAAAAAAAAATCCAAGAATATAGCTTAGTTATAAAAAAAAAAGTCAGAAAGGAGGAAATAAAAAATAAAAAATAAAAAATAAAAAATCGACCTATGCTGCTCATCAAAAAAATAAAAATAAAAAAAATCCACACCACTAGAAAGGAGATCAAAAAAACAAAACAAAAACAAAAAACATATCGGCCTATGCTGCTCATCATGAATGTTCTTTTCTTATCATACAAGTCTTCTTTTCCCTCCGAATCCGATCCCGACGTGCCTTGTACACGTGGCGCAAGAACGTCCTTCCAGCCTCGTTGATCTCCGACAATGCTGACGTGTTCGGCAGGAGGCACAACACAATCCCTCCTACTCCGATACCGACGCGCCTTGTACACGTGGCTCAAGAACGTCCTTCCAGCCTCATCGATCTCCGACAATGCTGACGTGTCCGGCAGGAGGGGTACTCCGATCCCGACGTGCCATTCACACGTGGCGCAACCTCGTCCCAGCCTCATTGATCTCCGACGATGCTGACGTGTCAGCCGATCCCGACGTGCCCTTACACGTGGCTTAAGAACCTCCTTCCCGCCTCATTGGTATCCGACAATGCTGACGTGTCCGGCACGAGGCACACCGCTATCCCTCCTACTCCGATCCCGACTTGCCATTTACACGTTGCGCAACCTCGTTCCAGCCCCATTGATCTCCGACGATGCTGACGTGTCAGCCACGAAGCAAGTTATGAGCCTCTTCCTCCCTTCCTCTCCGACGTGCCGTATACGTGGCGCAACCTCCTCTGCCACTTCCACCTCCATCGGTGTTCTTGATGTGCCACTTGGCCGACATGCATGCATGACACGTAGCACGGCAAGCAGACCCCACTTCCTCCGTTTCATTTTTTTTTTTTTTTTTTTTTAATTCTTCATTTGTGCTTAATTGTTTTTGATGGACCACGTGAATTTATTTTTAGTGGTCCGATGAACCACCGATCGGATATTAAATTGATTCGACTGATTAGAACAGATATACTGTTTTTGGACTGGATCTAGTTTTAGACAAAAGTTCGAGAAAAGGTAAATTGTGTGTTTCTTTAATATTGTTTTCCTTCCTTTCTTCCTAAACATTGTTTTTTTAATGTGCTGGTGATTTTTTGTTTTTTTTAATAAGTGTGCTGGTCACTGGTTTGACCTCTACCGGCTTTCCACGTGGCACAAGCCCGTGCGCCCTGTCTGCAGCCAGCTTTGTTCTCGACGTTTCTTGACGTTTCTCGACGTTTCCCTCCCCCCTCCTTCCCCCTCCAAAAAAAAAACAACAACAATACGAAGAATAGAACAGACGGCATTCTTTTTCTTAATTCCTGTTTTTGCCCTTTTTTTGGTTCTTTTTTTTTATTAAAAAAAAATCCTTTGAACTTTTTTTTTTTTTTGGTGAGGGGGGGAAGGCGGGGATTGATTCAGAATGTCCTGAGCAGCCTATATAACCCCCGGCTGTGTGTCCGAGTCTCGATCTGGTCTGGGACGTCCTACCTCTGAGACGAGAGCACTCTGACAAGCTGACACGTGTCGCGTTGCCATTCATGTGCGCTGTCCGTCCGATGCAGGGGGGCGAGCATCTCTCTGTCGTTAATCGGCTGTCTCAAGGATTAGCAGTGCGGGACTCAGTGCTTCGGCGGGCGTTTGCCACGTCATCAACTGGGGTACTACTACTCCACGTCATCATAACCTCATAGATGTTATTGATTGAGATTATGCCACGTCAGCAATGGTTGTTGGCGCCTGATTGGATGTATCTATAAGGAGAGATTGTGGGCTTGATTGGTGAGAGAGGTTGGTGAAGTCCGTCTATCAACTGCTGTCGTTTGCACGTCATCATCACCCATCACCCTTGTATAGGGATGCATCTATAAGGAGAGATTGTGGGCTTGATTGTGGGCTCGATATGTCAGTTATTTATAAGGAATAACTAACATAGCAGAGTACTTTGTCAATCTGGTATTCCTGTGGTTTGTCACGGCATCATCACCCGTCACCCATCATCACCCATCACCCATCTCCCATCACCCATAACCATTACCCGTCACCCATCACCCATCACGCGTCAGGCTCATGTTTTGTAGATGTGCAGGCTTTGCTCAGGCCATAAAGAACCAAGCAAGCAAGCAAGCGAGCGAGCGAGCAAGCGGACATATGGAGAATCTGTGATGTGTGGCTTTGGTGCAGACCGAAGCGACAGTGTGCGCTTCATTGGTGGTGCTGGTAAAGCCCATCGACACTCGGACTAGCAATTAGCACATCAATTGGCACTCCGAGTCCTGTGGTCGTTTGCATCGTCATCATCTCACCATCATCACGTCACCCCATCTCATCAACAGATCACACTTCACCCATCACTAGTCATCAACAGATCACGCATCACCTGTCATCAACAGATTACCCATCACCCTTCACCTATCATTCATCACCCATCACCATCACCAATCACCCCATTATCAACGGACCATCTATCACCCATCACCCTATCATCAACGGATCGCCCATCACCCATCATCACCAATCATCAACAGATTACCCGTCACCCATCGTCAACATCACTCAATACCCATCATCAACATCACTATCACCCATCACCCCATCATCAACGGATCACCCATCACCCATCACCCCATCATCAACGGATCACCCGTTACCCATCATCATCAACAGATCACCCATCACCCACATCATCAACATATCACCTATCACCCATCACCCATCACCCATCACCCATCAAACCCATCATCAACGGATCACCCATCACCCATCACGCATCACCCACTATCACCCACCATCACCCACTGTCACCCATCATCACCCATTATCATCCATTATCACGCATTGCCCATCATCGCCGGATCAACCATCATCGCCAGGTCACCCATCATCCACCACCGAACATCAACCATCACGCACCACCCATCAGCCATCGGTTTCGCAGGACGTTGTTCTGAGGTCATCAAGCAAGCAAGCAGACAGGCATAGAGGCAGAGAGACAGAGAGAAACATGAAGAATATGCTGTTCTACAGGTACCCTTATCCTCATGAACATTCACAGCATGCTCTGGTTGCTGTCGTCATCGGATCCATCTTCTTCATATCAAGCGACAATTGGCATTCGTTGCTTTATCGCTGGGATGCAAACATCAAGTGGTGGTTGATGTACACCCTGCTGCTATCCTTTTTCTACTTCTTCATATCGCCCTTTCGAGGAAGACTCATACGACCGAATTACTCCAACTTCAGCAGATGGTAAGTCGATGTACGGTCATGTACCCCCAAACCAGGGAAAAAAAAGAAAAAAGGAAAAAGAACAGAAACAAAAAAGGTGCAACCCAACTGCGTCCTCAAATGAGCACGGGGAAAGAGCGAGTAGCTCGGGGGTGACCCACCTGACTCGGAGTCCGTCCGTCCACTCACCTCCCTTCCCTTCCTCCCTCCCTCCCCCTCTCTCTCCCTTCTAGCCTGCCTACCTGCCTACTTACCTACATGCTTACATGCCTACCTGCCTGTCTGCCCTAGGCTCCTGACCAGCGTGCCTGCTACTCTCTTTTCTGTCTCTCATGGTGGAGATGTGGAGATGGGATCATGGGACCCGTACACAGAATCTCTGCGGCTTTCTCTGGGTTCATCTCTCCTCCCACTTATCTTACCTACGTCCCTAATAGCCTATCTGCCTACTATCTACCTGGGTGCTTGCCTGCCTGCTTCCCTGTCTGCATGCCTGCTTCTCTCTTTCCCTGTCTCCTTGTGGAGGTGTTGGGATCTGATGAGAGGGTACTTAGAGTCTTTGCCGCTCTCTCAAAACTCGTTTGCCCACTCTCCTACCTCACCTCCTTCCCTAATATCCTATCTCCTTACCTACTTACCTGCCTGCCTGCATGGCCTGACTGCGTGTGTGGGTCCCTGCCTGCCTACTACCTGCATGGCATCTTTGCAGGTCGGCTGGCCGGCTGGCTGCCTGGGGTGCTGCAGGCATGCCAAAAATTTCACCCTTGTTTTTAGAGGTGGTTGGACATCTCTCTCTTCTTGTTGATGTTTCTTTTTTTAGCGAAATTTGATTGGGGAGGAGGGTTGGGCGATTGATGAATCATCTCTTCATCATTCCACCATGCGCTGCGCTGCTCAATGCGTACAGTCCAGACATACCTGCTTGACATAACGCGGGAAGGACAGTGCGATGGAGAAATTGTCATCATCCATCACCACCACCATCATCATCATCATCATCACCATCATCATTATCGTCATCATTCCATCATCATAATGCTCATCATCATCATCATTTGTTTCTTAAGGCACCCACCAGGCTGCCTACCGCATGTGAAAATGGTTGGTTGAACCTGGGTGCTGAGGCCGCTTGGGACCTGACTGGGTGACCCATGCTGTGCGGCGGCCGGGCAGCCCCTTCCGCATGGGTGTAGGCAGTCCATGCGCTCAGAAAAATAGGCCATCTCTTTTTAAGTTTTTATTTATTGGTATTATTTTTTGAAACATGGCCTTATGGACCTGTTGATTGGCTGTATCCTGATTTGTTGGCGGCTTTCGGAAAAAGTGTGGTCTTGAGGAGAATGCTTCTGGAAAGATAGCACTACTGTGGGATGAATGTGGACTGATGGGTTCAATTTCACCTTTTTTTCATGTTTTTCGTTTTTCCACAACCTTTATTCTTCCGTTGGTTTGTATTAGTAATTTAGTACCGATGTTAAAAAATAAAAGAAGCTCTGAGGTCTCTGTTGCCTTTTAGGATAATACGTGTGTGTGTGTGTGTGTGTGTGTGTGTGTGTGTGTGTGTGTGTGTGTGTGTGAATACTTGGCAGGTATGTGCTGTGGCTTCTTGTAGCAGCTGTCTACCATATGCCCAGCTTTGAGTCCATGGGAGTTGATCTACGGATGAACCTCTCTCTCTTCATAACTCTGTACCTGGTATCGGTCCTTATCCTGATGGCTTTTCACTTTATGTTCATTGGCCTCTGGCACTTGGGATTGGCGAATCGCATCTCTGGCCAGCGAAAAGAGATCTTCACAATTTCGCAGAATAGCACGGTGCGTGCCTAATTTTGTTCCTGCCCTTCAGTTCTTATCAGTGGTCTCTACGCACACACAACATCTTGGTCTTGTTTTCAATTCGCCCTTCATGTTTGTCTTGGTTTTTTATTTTTACCATTTATTTCACAAAGTGCGCTCGTTTAGTTCATAGATGTGTGTTATTTTCCTGGCCAATTTTGAAGTACACATTCATCAGAAAGTACAGTGCTGTCCAACTGCAAAAAGAAATGAATGAACTTGAGAGGAGAGGGAAAGAAGAAGAACAAGAAGAAGAAAGAAGAAGAAGAAGATGTACACCAGCATAGACCAATGATAATGCTCTTACTTCTTTGCCAACCACTCTCCTCATCTCCTCCCCTCTTATTCAAACAAGAAATAATAATAATAATGTTGAATGGCTGAACCAGAATCAATGTTCGAATCCCTCTTCTACTGCAGGTATCACATGAGGTCCACCATAGCCATGGCCACCCTTCTTCCTCCTCCTTCCACGGCCGAGGTTGTGGCGGACTACCAGGGCACTGCCCTGCTGTGCAAAGGACAACACAAAGCAGCTATGGCTGCTCTAGCTCAGGTTGCCAGGCCTGACTCTGCCTCGAAGCTTCTTGGTGTAGCTCTGCCCCAACTGGGGCCTTCCATATGCAGCGCCCACCAAGGCGATGAAGATGGCATCCACCATAGCCAGGTAAGTACCTTTGGCGCGCCCCTCCTAGTCCTTGTCTCCCTCCTCCTGCTGTCCTTGCTCCTTCCCAGGCAGCGCTGCTCCAGCCAGTCCTCCAACCATTTTGTCGCCAAATTTGCACATCGACAATGAGGAGGAGCCCTTCGTTCCTCCTGGAGATATAGCGGCCTGCTTGCCTCTTGGCGAGTGACCTCCTAGGCCGCGCGGCCTCCAAGCAACCGGTACCTCCTCCCTTTCGGAGGGAAACATCATTGCAGACTCTGATATTGCTCGAACAGGCCCTAGACTCAGACTGGTTGGATTGGTGCCCTCCTAGACCTAGCCTACAACTACTGGGCCTCTAAAAACGCTAACTGCTCGGCCTCAAGTACCCGGCACATCTACCTCTACCTGGTGAGGTACCGGCCTACCTGCCACTTGATTGTTTTTCCGCTGCCTAGAGTGTCGTGGGCCTCTTTCCCTGCCACTTGAGTGTTTTCCCCGCTGCAACCGTCAATGCCACGGCCACAGGTAAGTACCGGCCCTTTGGGCCTTCCGCATAGACAAGCACCCTTGCGGGTTACACACACTCAAACTGACAAGCACTCAGACATGCATGCAGACCAGCAAGCACGTACACACTCAAACTTCGAAAACCCAGCAACAAGCAGGAGACTCAGCAAGGCATACATCCCATGAGCAAAACACAGAAATCAGTTGTGTGTCTCAGTCCGTGTTTGGCAGGTCATTACACTACCCCCCTCACAAGAGTGAGATCCTTTCGAGCGAGTAACTAATTCTGAGTCCCCGACAAACGCATCGTAAGCGAACACAGCAAAGAGATTTCGTGAGTACTCAGTAGCAGTGAGTTTCGCAGAGATTTTTGGTACAGCATTAGACACTATCTGCCGCTCGTATGCTTTAACAACGCGAGGTGCGCTGCACAACAGTTCCTTCTTTGAGATCCAACAGAGATCATCCAACAGGTGATACATGAAATGAATCTGATATTGTGTGTTATGTCCCTTCCCTATGTGTTTTGTAATTCTATCGATCTCATGACCACCATTGATTGCACAAGGAATCATGTCTTCACGACAGTCGAAGGATTCAGCATCACAATATATAAACAACTTTGATGCATGAAAGACTGGGTACGTGTGCAGATGAGGAGGCACGACAATTACATATGAAGGACCGAAATCATCATCACCAATCACGTCCTGAACTTCCCACGGACCATAATAGAGAGGGAGTAGTTTGTGTGACACCTCCTCTTCTTCCGAAAATTCAGATGTCACCCAAACATAACTTCCAACTTTGATAGTCGAAGGTGTGCGTTTCTTATTCGCATGATGGATCATGGCGTGCTGTCGCTTGGTCATTGCTGCAATGGCAACCTTGAGCAAGCGACCATACTTGGCGCTGAAGCCAGGCCTCCCGGGCGTTAGACCAGCCTGCTGTTCGGGGAATAAGTAGGAGAGCGGATCTTCCAGCCGTAGTGCAACCTATTTGGCGTCATGCCGATGGAAGAATGGATGGAGTTGTTGTACAACCCCTTGACTGAATACAACTCTTCGTCCCATGTTTCTTGAGATCTAGAATGATTAAGGTATGGAGAAGTTGAAACACGGTCTGATTAATCTCCTCAGCCAAAACCATTGGCTTCGGGATGTCAACCAGATGTCATGCTCAGTTTGAGGCCAGGGAGTCGGGATGTGAAGTCCTTCCATTCTGTACTTATGAAGTGTGGGTCCGGATCACTCACAAGGGTTTTCGGGGTCCCGAACTGCAGAATGTACTTCTGGTGGAACTCACGGATCACAAGTTCAGTTGGGGCATGAGGTGGCAATGGAATCAAATCCATAAATTTGGTAAGTCGATCAACAATCGCCATCACTTGTGAATATCCATTCTTACTTGTCTTTCCCATGTCTGTGAAGTCGATAGAGACGAACTCTCCGGGATTGTTGGGAATGGGAAGAGGTTTAAGCAGCCCCATGGACTTTTGTCTTGATGGTTTGATTCGTTGACAAACTTGACACTCAAGCCAGAAACTTTTCAGTCGATCCTTTCATACCAGGCCAATCAAACTGTCATAATAGGTTTCCGTAAGTCTTTGCCATGCCAAAGTGTCCACTCCAACCATGAGCCAAGTCCAAGAAGTGTGTGCGAAGAGGCTCATGGTTGGGTACACACAAACGAGCATTCTTTCCATAGCATCGTAAAACCAGTCCTTCACATTCGTGAAAATTAGGCTGACTGCTGGGGTCAACCCGCAACTCTTCAAGGATCGGACTAAGGTCTGGGTCCTTGGCAGCTTGCTCCACAGGCTCCAATTTCTTTCGGAGGTCGTAGGAGTTCACAAGGCAAGTCATATACTCGGTGTGGCAAGACAATGCATTAACAACTCGATTATAACAACCCTTTTTGTGTTTTGATTGAAATTCAAAAATGTCATTCTCATGGAACTAGTGAGTCGACATCGGGGACAATGTGGTCTGCTCCTTCATCCATGCACCCCAAAAGATAGTGCTTTCGATGATTCAATGTCTCGCGCATGTAGGTGGAAGTAGCTACCTTTTCGCTAGGCATGTGTTTGTTGTAGTACTCGAGCGGCTGCAAGCCATCATCGTCATCTTGCTGCAACATTATGCCAATCCCATACTGGCTCGCATCCGTAGTGACTACGAATGTGAGTTTGAAATCTGCAATGCGGAGTACAAGATAACTTACCAAGGCCTCTTTCAAGGCTTGAAAAGCAGTCTCACATGTTGCATCCCACGTGTAAGATATGGTCTTTTTTGTTAGTTTGGACAATGGGAGAGCCACAACAGAAACTCGGGGCACGAACTTTCGATAGTATGATGCGAGGCGAAGAGAATGCAACTCGCGGACGTTTCGCTGGTGAGGCCACTTGCGTATGACCTCTACCTTGGTTGCCTTGGGCCCAAGGCCTGCAACAGACAACTGGTGCCCAAGATAGATGAGGCTGTCCCTCCCAAACTCAGATTTCTCTGAGTTGAGATGGAGCTGCATTTTCTTGAGGATGGTGAACACTTCCTCCATGTGCTTCATGTGTTCTTTAATCGACTTACTGAAAATCAGAATGTCATCAAAATCACAACCCCAAATTCACCAATCAGTTCGCAAAGGACCTTGTCCAAAAGACTTTGAAAGGTGGCCGGTGCGTTTGTGAGACCGACGAGCATTACGATGAATTCGTAAAGCCCGTCGCGTGTTTTCAATGCAGTCTTGTGTTGGTCCGTGGGACCGACTTCAATCTGGTGGTACCCATACTTGAGATCGATCTTGGAGAAGACCTTGCACCCACCTGCAGCATCAAGCAAATCATCTATGTGTGGCAATGGGTATGCATTCTTCCTTGTGATGCGGTTTAGACCGCAGTAATCAATACACATACTGAGTTTGCCTCCTTTTTTTGGGACAAACAAAACGGGTGCACTGAATTCAGATTCACTAGGTTTAATCCATCCCTTGTCGATCATCTCATCGATCTGTTTTCAGAGTTCCTCCAACTCGCCAGATCCCATATGGTATACACAGCCCCTTGGAGGAACAACGCCTTCGACCAACTCAACCGTGTGTCGGGCCGATCGCATGGGGACTCCACAGGGTTCGGCCAAAACTTTCGAAAATCGCTCGAGTAGGCTTTGGATGCTTGTTGGGATCGGCGGGGGTGGGGGATCAGAAAAAGGATTACCTAGATTAGGTCGCAAATTTTTAGTAAACGAAATCGAATATGAAGTAGACTCATTTGGAATAGAAGTAGGTGTAGGGATAAAAGTAGACTTATCATGCAAAGTAAAATTATTACTGGGTGTAAAAGTAGAAGGTACATGAGTAGGACGAACAAAGGCAACAGACAATTGTTCATCCTCCTTATGCCTGCACCACTTCTTGCAGAACTGCATGGCATGAAGAAAAGTCACCGGGAATTCGAGCTTCTCATCCAAGAGGAAGGGACACTTGTTCCCTTGTGCAACTTCGACCATGAAAAGCGGTGCCTTCCACTTGGCCCATTCACATTGGGATTGCAACCAGCCCAACTTGAGGACTGCGTCAAGGGGCACTTGTCAAGGACATAAAAGTTTAACTCGTGTGTGATAGTCTTGTCTTTGTCAAATGTAGTGCGCACACCTTTGACTGCATGCGTGGATGAGACAACCTCTTTGTTGGGCAAGGGCTCTGCAAATCCACTTGCTTCATCCCCCAGCCCACTTTGCGTATGACAACCTCTTTGTTGCCCGCTCGAGTCCGACAAGGGCTCTGCAAAGCCACTTGCTTCATCCCCAAACCCACTTTGGGTATCCTG